TTTCCAACAATCACACCTGAGTCGGCGTCGACAGGGAAGACGGAGGCGTGTTAGCCTCAAAGGAGGACATGATGCAGGTTTACACACGTGTCATATTTATTTATTTTATTTATCATGTTTATTCTGCTTCCTGTTGGTGGATTTAACTGGACTCTAAATGATGGCTGACAACAGCCTTTCATCCTCAGTCTCTCCTTCAGAGGATCACAGCAGCTCGGTGGCCTCCTCACTCGTCTTCATGTTGAAATGAGGAAGATCTGGCCTCAGAGCAGACCTACAGGGGGCATCCAGCCTACTGCCTAACAGTAGCTCTGTGGCCACTCAGACAGGACTGACAAATCATCTCTCACTAAAAAGGGGCAGTTCCTCCTTTAATATAATATACAGATAAACTAAATACAGCAGTGTAGAAGTCAGGATCAGCAGTGGGGGCTGGGCCGTGCAGAGAGCAGCGCCATCAGCTTCACTTCTCTTAGAGACATAAGCGCTGGTGTCCACCTGAACCCTGGAGTTCTGCATGGCCACCAGCACCTGCTTGAACTGAACACTCCAGCCAGGTGAAGCTTCCACACCAGGAGCTGCAGAGGAAAGAAGGAAAACTCTGCATGAGTGGTCTTTGGCGCTTCTCAGTGCGAGCTCACTGGGCTGCGATGGCCTGTTGCTGTTCCTCGAAGCTGTAATGTACCATGAGCCTTGTGTTGTTGTTGACGTCGTCACTTAGTCGCCCTGCTTGGCGCTGCTCCTGGTGCTCTCTAGCTGCCGTGGATAACCATCCGACCAGTGTGACTGCTTCCTGTTCGCTCCCGTCCACCCCGTCACTTGTCCTTTTTGTATTTTTGTGGAAATAGTCTAGTATATTCTTGTTCATTATGCTGGTAGTACTTAGTAATCTCCTGCTCTCGTGACCGGTGACCATGACCGTTAGACCGTTTGACTCAGTGACCCGCCCCTCTGTCTCTAATTGGCTAAAACGTTGCCTTCGTTCATTGGTTGGACTGTAGGAGTGACATATCAAGATAGTTTTAAGAGACGATGGCTACCCCGACGGAAAAAAACCAAAACCCAAATAAAATCAACAGAACACTGTGCTTATAGCACACCTGACTCCATGGCGGCTACGGCTCAGAGAACGTTTCAGTGTCAGTAGAAAATGTCAATACGTCCATTTTTGTACAATTACAGGAATTTTCTGTGATTGTGGGAGAAAAGCTCAGTTTTTAATTATTGGCTCTTGAAAATGAACCAGTCAGTAAATGTGTTGAATCATCCTCCGTCAGTCCTCGTACCGTCTCTTCCTCCTTCGGCTGCACATTCATACATATTTGTTGCATTGCTGCATCTATATATAGCAGCAGAAGCGTGTAGGTGAGAACGACGGCGCCCACGTTCATTACGATGAAGGAAGACACTGCTGGCGCCGTGAAGCGTCTCAGATCTGATCGTTCTAGAACCATCCATTGTGGACGCAGATGGAGCTCAGTGGCACAAAGGAATCAGATTCATGTCTTATCCCTGACAGCGCTCGATAGCATGTTGGATTCCTCATTTCATACAATTTGCAGGCGGTGAAAACGTTGGAATGATTCCCAGCAGCAGGTGAAGCTGGACAGAATCAGAGCGTCCTGGTCCGATGAGCTCAGCAGCTCTGGGGGGACGGAGCAGAGGTGCTGGACTCTGAAGGCATCCGCTAATCAGATCCAGGATCCTGCAGGAGGGACACGCGTGTGCCGGAGACGGCGTGCGTGTGAATGATCCTGCAGAACGGTGCATTAATGATGGATCCACTCCCCCTTTGTTTGGGATGTAAATGTGATGAGTGGGCTTTGTAATTGGTCGGTTTAATAACTGGAGACTTCTCCGTCGATTACACACCACAGAAACATGCCCGAGTGGTAATTTTCCGTCGCACACTCGACACTTATGTCAGCGAGGCATTCACACGCCGCTCTGTTTAATTTAGGTTTGGCAGATTACAGTAATTATGTTAAAAGATTTTCCGGAGTACGTTGCCCTTTTCTGTCCTTGAAGGCTGAAGGATGAACGCTGTGCTGTTTTACAATCCGACCAGATTGGGAAATGTGTTCGCATAAAGGCTGTAAACGCAGCGTGGGCTTTATTGTCGAGCACTTTTATGATCTCTTTGATCATCCGAGGAGGTTTTTTTCTGTTTCCGTAACCGCAGATTAACATGCAGCCTGTGTGTATTAATTGCGTTTGTGTTGAAACAGAGTTTGTCATTGAACTGCACCTCTGGGCTGCTTTTTGTTCAGCACGGCCTCGGGATGCTGTGTGTGTGCACGTGTGCGTGTGCACGAGAGTCAATGTAAACTGCCCATGAAATGAAGACTCACACGTCTGTTTCCTGTAAATGCGACTGTTTGCTTCCACGCGTCACAATGCAAACTGTCCTTGAAATTAAGACGTAGACCATGAAACATTCCTCTGTGTGTGTGTGTGTGTGTGTGTGTGTGTGTGTGTGTGTGTGTGTGTGTGTGTGTGAGTGTGTTTGAAAAGAAACTTCAACAGGCTGACAGCTTGTCAGGTCCCTCCTACGACTGTAATGAATTTCAGCCTTTTGTGGTGTGTGTGGTCCCGCTGCACTGATAAGACCTGGC